TTTTTTTTCTGTTAATCTGCTTAGAATGTGGTTAAAATCTTGTTTATGTTCGAATAGACCGCCGGGATTGACCATGGGGAAGAGATTTTTTTAAGTCTTTTGTTTTTGTGGTAAACATCAGGTACATTTTAAAAACAAACACTGAGCGATTTCAAAACTTTATATCAGTAAAATATAACTATTGATGTACAGGTATTATAGATTTAGGTAGTTTATCTTCCATTCTAACCGTGTATTCTGTTCTTATACTGCAATGTGGTTTGTTAAACTGATTATTATCTATTTGAAAAAGCTCCCGAGAAATCCGTATTTGCTTGCCCCCATGATTCATAAAAACACAAGTCGCTCTTTGAAGTTTGAAAGATACTATAAGTTAAGGGACGGATCATTATTTATGGTGGGGGGTAACACCGAAGAGAAATGTTTTTCGTGGCAAAAATTTTGCTGACCCAACCATTAAAAAGTAAAAAATTTGACTGCCCAACCTTGAAAATCAATTAAAAAATAAATACCCACCCCTGGCCAAAACTTTACAAAAGGATACCATTCAATTGTCACACATGTCCTTTACCACTTCTGTGACATGAGTTTGATAATGGTTTGTGAACGTTTTTAACTGCAGTCTAAAGTTTCATATTGTCTGCACATGTAGTTTCTTTGGAGACATCATTTGTCTCCTGACAAATCGGAAAATATCAAGATAGTGATTCTGGTAGATTTACATATTGTATTGACACATGACTGTTGACATTGCTTTTTAGACTTCAATATTTTAGTAAGACATGCTTTGGAAGTGACAACATTTTTTTCTTACCCAACCCTTGAGTTTTTTGTTTTTCATTTACCCAACCTTTTACTAACTCAAAATTTTGTTTACCCAACCATTTTCTCTTCGGTGCCACCCCCCACCATAAATAATGACCGCTCCTTAAAGTATAGTCTTACTATAACGCCCATTTCCATTCACAGAAAGAAAATTTTATAAAATGTGATTGGCCGACACAAATTTTCCGTCGGAAAAAAATTTGAAAATTTTGAACTTTTAACAATTGATATTTGAAAGTTTTCTGTCCGTGGAAAATTTTCCTGAGTGGAAATGGGCCTTTATTCAGTATTTTCGAGTCTTTATTTCGTCCGTGCTTTATCAGATTTAAAAGTAATAAAATACTCGGCTGTCGCCTCAAGTTTTATACCTGATAAAGCACTTAACTTCTGCTCGTGTTTTAAATAGTACATAACATATTCTTAAGCAATGAGAAATGAACGAAATGGGATGAATATTGTTTGCTAGCCAGGAGGTCAACGTCACTGTCGCCTGATGTTTGTAATATCGTGCCACATTAATTAAAGTGATTAAGCGGATTATTTACAAAGTCAATACTTGTATAATCGTTAATAATAAGGCGGAATGTGGCTGCGGTTTCGATGTCACGATTGTTTTTGGCTGTCTACCGATATTAGGGGCGGACCATTAGAAATCCCGGGAGGGGGGGTATAAAATTTTTGCGGCACGAATTTTTTTTTTCAGTCTCATGTCTCTGCAGGAATTTTTTTTAATGCATTTAACCTCTGCACGAATTTTTTTTCAAGACTACTTGTACTTTGCTGTTTGCTTGCACGAATTTTTTTTTTCTGACGTAATGGCTGCACGAATTTTTTTCCAGGCATTTTTCTTTGCACGAATTTTTTTTTGGGAATTTTCACCCCCCCTCCTGGGATTTCTAATGGTCCGCCCCTTAAGAAAACATCTGAATCCAAGTTTTTCGCTCAACCGCATCGTAAGTAGGCTCAGATTCCAGCCGTTGGGTTCTCTCTCGCACTCGCCCCCCTAACTGAGTGCGAGGGCCGAGAGAGAACCCAAAGGCTGGAATCTGAGCCTAGATCGTAAGTCGTAAAGGACGATTTACACTACACAACTTTTACCTAAAACTGTTGGCCGCGTGCAACCCGCTTACAACTTGAGTTGTACTGTGTAAATGAAGCTCACAACTCACCTGCTACGACAACGCAGGCGAGTTGCGTTGTGTGCTTGATTTACACAGTACAACTCAAGTTGTAAGCAGGTTGCATGCGACAGTTTTGGGCATACGTTTTGTAGTGTAAATGGACCTTAACGTCACGAAGTCCAATCATGTAGCGTTTCTTTTTGTATCAGCTCTGTCTAAACAACTTTACATTGGTAACAATTTTAGCACTAATTTAAATTGTTTTATGTTGTTGGCGGCAGTGGTGGTGTTGTCGTTGTTGTTCTCGTTGTTATTGTTATTGTTGCTGATGTTGCTGTTGCAGTTGTTCTTGTCGTCGTCGTCGCTGTTGTCGTTGTCTTTGTTGCTGTCATCATTATCGTTGTTTTTGTTGTTGTTGTTGTCGTTACCGTTGTCATTGCTGTTGTTGTAGTCGTCTTCATCCTAATTGTTGTTCTTGTCGTCGTTGCTGTTGTCGTTACCGTTGTTATTGCTGTCGTTGACGTCGTCTTCGTCGTAATTGTTGTTTTTGTCGTTGTCGCTGTTGTTGTTGTCATTGTTGTTGCTGTCGTTATCGTTGTTGTTCTGGTAGATATTGTTGTTGTGGTGGTAATAGTGGTGTTGATATTGTTGTCGTTGTTGTTGATGTTGTTGTTGTTGTTGGTATTGTTGTTGTTGTTGATGTTGTCGTTTTTTGTCGTCATCGTTGTTGTTGTCTTTGTCGTTGTTGTCGTTTCGTTTCTGCTATTCTTGATGTTGTCGCTGTTGATGTTGTCGTTGTTGATGTTGTCGTTGCTGTCGTTGTTGTTGTTGATGATATTGTCGTTGCTGCCGTTGTTGATGATATTGTCGTTGCTGCCGTTGTTGTTGTTGGTGATATTGTCGTTGCTGCCGTTGTTGTTGTTGATGATATTGTCGTTGCTGCCGTTGTTGATGATATTGTCGTTGTTGTTGTTGATGATATTGTCGTTGTTGTTGTTGATGATATTGTCGTTGTTGTTGTTGATGATATTGTCGTTGTTGTTGTCGTTGTTGTTGTTGATGATATTGTCGTCGTCGTCGTCGGACGTCGTCGTCGTCGTACGTTGTTGTTGTTATCGTACGTTGTTGTCGATGGCCTTGTTTATGTCGTCGTTCTTGTTGTTGTCGTTTCGTCGTTGCTATTGTTGTTGTTGTTGTTGGTGGTGTTGTTGTTCTTCTTGTTATAACCGGTTGTCTTTGTTTTTCGTTGCTGTTTATTGCGGTTGTCGTTCTCGACATATATATATTTATAGTCGTCGTCGCCTTGTCGGTGCTGTCTTTGTTCTTAAAAAACTCATTAATAATTCAGGAGCAAAACACAAAGAAAAATCATAAGCGTGTCGTGGTTTTATATGTGATAAAAAATCACGTTAATTTACATAAACTTTAGCTTTGATTTTCTCGGTTTAGACAAAGTTTATTTTAAAAATTACTTCGCCAATGAACTCGTATAAGATTGTAGTCGTGTTTTATCACATA